GGGGATGAGGGTGGTTAAATACATATAGTTTTATTTGTCTATAAAAGGGATATGGATTAGGCGTTTTACACAAATAGGAAACCATCACGTGTTTCATATAACTAAAGAGAAAAGATTCAGTAGAGCTTTGAACATCAATTTATATGCATGTAAGTACAATTGTACTTGCATGGAGTATAAGAGAATGAAGCATACTTGTAATACGAGTTTAGCATTGAAAAAAGGTGCATGGACTGCTGAAGAAGATATGCTTCTTAAAAATTGTATCGAGAAATACGGTGAAGGAAAATGGCATCTTGTTCCTCTCAAAGCAGGTAACACGTCTTGTGTACTTTAGCATTCATTACTGTTTTATGGGGTTTTCAAAGAAAGAAAAAAAAATGATGAGTTTTTTGTCGTAAACTTTTTTGTATTAATCTTGTTGTTGTATTATTTGTAGGTTTAAGAAGATGCAGAAAAAGTTGTAGGTTGCGATGGTTGAATTATCTGAGGCCAAATATAAAGAGAGGAGATTTTGAAGAAGATGAAGTTGATCTCATACTTAGGCTTCACAAGCTTCTAGGCAATAGGTAAGTGGTATTTAAATAAAGTCCATAACGGCAACTATTACATTTGATCTCCTATGAACTACGAGTGGAAGTCAAATGTATTAAAATGTTTATTTCGGTGTAAATAATGTAATAATTCTTTTTCATTCCTTAATTCAGATGGTCATTGATTGCTGGAAGAATACCAGGAAGAACAGCGAACGATGTGAAGAACTACTGGAACACCCACCTTCGCTCTCGTGCCAAACAAAAAAACATAGAACCTCAATATGCTAAATTGTCAGAAGATCACACGATGCTCACAATTATCAAGCCTCAACCACAGACATTCTCCAAAACTCTAAATTGGTTCAAGGGTGATAACCACATCTTGGAAACTCATGACGATAGAAACTTAATAAAATCATCAGATGATGGTGTTGACAACAACGATAACATGTCTCCAGGATTAATCCCATCACCATTAATACCAGATGACAAGATTAATGAGTTTTTGAAGGAGTTATTTGATGAAGGGGAAAAAGCTATTGATGGTGAAATTGGGTGGTCATTTGATGGTTCTCCGACGACGGGGGAGGCTTTAAATATTGTGGAGCAAGAAGACAACCAAAATAATTTGTTTGATTTCTCTACAGATGAAGTCATGTGGAACTTATTAGCTTCGGAATGACTATGAATTTTGAATGCCTCTTTTAGTTGTATTTGTATCATTAATTAATTAATTACATATGTTAAAATAAAACGTAGACCTAAGTTTCTTGCTATGTAAGATAAAAAAAAATGAATATACATGAGTTATTTATTTAATGGTTTGAATTAATATGTACTTGTTAAGAAAATATAAAAGCATGATGTATATTTGTGGTACCATGGGCGGATCTACTGCATAGTGGTAGGGGTCCTAGGCCCCCAACAAGCCCACCAATTTAAAAAAAAAATATAAAAAGATTGTTTAGTAAATTTTTCTATTGTGCATCCAACAAGAACAAGACAAGGGCCCCCAACAAGAACAAGCAAGACCCCCAACTTGATACCTAATTGTTAATTGGTCCATTTGCAGCACACACTGATAATTTCGTTCGAAATATAAAATATAAAAATTATACATCTCGATGAATTAGTAAAAAGTCAACTGAAAATCGATCTGAATAAGTTATATTTATTCGGTTAACTGAACCATTTAAGTTAAAATTGAAAACCCAAAACCGTTTTCATCCGGATGAATTACTTGGTTTGGAAAAAAAAAATCTACATCTCTAAGTGTGCCCCCAACTATAAAAGTTTTCATCCGGATGAATTAATTGGTTTGAAAACCCAAACCCGTTTTCAATTTGGTTTTTTGTTTGCACATACAAAAATACGTAGAAGGGCCTCGTATCAACAATTTTATCGTATCTTTGAATATTCGCATCCATTTATTACACCCTCATATTATTTAAAACAGTTATTGTGAGATTGAAATATCAGAATTAGACCATTGAAGACTATTTATTAAAGTTATGGATGGTCATACAATCTTACATGTATGTTCGAAATCATTTTTACCGCAACAACTCCATACATGCTTCTCAAAATCCAATATTCGTGCGTGCACACACACACATATAGATAAGGGTTCAAACGAGAACACCCTTATTCTAAGAAACATAAGAATACTTCTAGGCCTCCGAATTAATTAAACTATAATAAAAATTAGAATAAATAAATTAGTATTTTCAACAATTTATATTATCTTAGATCCGTCTTTATCACGTAAATGTTACATAAATCATCAAACACATCCTACGTCGATGCCTCCTTTTATTGACAATGATGTGATAATTTTATGATAGACAAATTAAGTCGATGATTCTGGATGTGATCATCGTTGGTTTTTGATTAATTTATTACATTATTATCACAACAAAATCATATAATATTTTTTTTTGATTTATCAAAGTATTATCACAGTAAAATCACATTATCATCAACAACGATAATGCTACCAATATTTAATGGATAAAGACAAATATAAGTTGTCGAGAAATACTAATTTATTTTTATTTATTTATTATTTGGAAACCACAATTGTTATTGTATTTTCATAAAACAAAAGTATATGAACCCCACCCCTCTCTCTATTGAGAGAGAGAAGAGAGAGTTTCATATATATATATATATATATATATA